ACATGAAAGAGGGATCAACCCTCAATCTCAATTGATATTAAATATCAATTAAGATAAGATCATCTGCCTCTATAAATTTTTTAAAGGAAAAAAAAACTCGATTTACTTAAAGTTTTTCAAACTTTAAATAATTTTTATTAAATGTCGTTTTTAACACACGGTAACTCAAGAAAAAACCTTTAACTTTTCAGTGAATTACATTTAAATGTGAAAGCCCAATATATTGACTAATATAGATTCTGAAACTTTTCAAAACGTCTGAACTTATCTATTAGTTATTTAAAAACTATAAAAGTTGTTAAAAGGTTAAACTATAAAAAAAATGTCTCCTTACAACGGAAACTACTACAATTATACACTCTGTTGAAAGCTAAAATAAAATTTTAACATTTTAGATAAATTGATTGATTAAATTGATTGTTAATACATTGTTAATTTAATTAAAAGTACACATATTTAGACAAACAAAAAAATAACTGTCGTCTGTCAAGGTTAAAAATTTATGTTTATTTGCACGCAAGAAAATGTTTTACATTGTCTGATGTGATTGCAATTTTTAAATTATAAAGAAAATGCAAGAAACTAGAAATGTGTCTATATTTAAACTAGTATTTCAATGAAATATTGAATGCACTTAAAAGAACGCTGATACTAAATATGAACAAAGTGATTTGAAGCTTTAAAAAATATTATTTTTTAATTGTATGCAGCCTTTTACATTTTTCTTGTTAGAGTAATAAAATACATACATTTATAAATATGGTAATGAAAATATTTGTTTTCACTTTCTATTCACATATCAAGCCTGTGAAGACTTTTAAATTTTTGTCACCACGCAACCAAAGCAGATAGACAAGTGAATTTCTTGACATTGCCAGAGATTCAAATGAGGTTATGTTATACTTTGTGCTATGTATGGATAAAACAAAAATTAACGTGAATAAAACACAAATAAAAGGATATGAATGGACATACAGTTTCGGTCTTTCTAAATGTTCTTGTTTATGGAACCGAAACTATAGTATGTCCATTCATGTACCATTATTTGCGCTTTATTCAAGTTGTTTTCTGATTTATCTATGCTTTAAGGTTGTTTTATAATCACTAAGAACGGCAACCTGCCTGGTCTTCCATGAATGACGTAGATTTGAAAATACAATTCAAGTTAAATAGAATGACGTAGAAGCATGCGTTTTGCTCTATTATGCTTAGAAAATTATTTATTTTTTTGTATCGCCAAGCTACAAAATTAGTTACAAAGCCCATCAAAAGATGGCGTAACTGGTTGAAAAAACTATAAAACAAATTTTTTTTCTTCTGCATATCTGACTATTTCAACCGAAATATTTTCACGAAATGTCAGTTAATTTTGTCTTCATAAAGCGTCACGCTGTTGATGCAAGTGGGTCTTATGAAATTTTTCTCGAACAGCTGAGTCATTTGCAGACATCATTTTAGTAATAGCGCCTACTGTTGACATTATTGACTCCTTCTTTTTTCATGTTATTTAACAAATTTAGAATCTCGATGAGATACAAAAGCTTTTGGTTTCTTTAGCAGAATGTCGCAAATCATACGTTCCACTTTACTTTAAATACTTTTTCGAGTCATCGGTCATTTATAGGGCATCCAATATGATGATCAATTAAAATAAAAATTTTATCCTCAAAAAATTCGATCGAGCCTAGTCTATATATATGCAGATTAGGGTTAAAGATTAAGTGCGTACTTCTGCCATATCCGCATTATTATTTTAGCTTTTTTTTGTTGAAAATTGTATTCTATAACAGAAAATTAGTACCACAGAGAATACTAACTGTCTTGGGACCTATTTTAATCTATAAAAATTGAAACTGTGCCGAATAATACGGCAGATATATTATAAATATGCTGATAAAGCTACATTCTTTAGTAATAAATATACTAACAAAACTATATTACATCATACAGATTTTATTTATTTTTTGTTTTTCTTTGAACTTGCACTGAAAGTACAGTAAGATCTTATATACAATCAGAAGTATAATAATTTGAATAGCCTAGTTACGATGAAAATAGTTTTATTCTTTAAAATACCTGTGGAACCTAAAATAGTTCTTTTTTGGTTCCGGCACTAAAGAGTTAGGTTAAAATCCCAGGCATAGCAAATGGTCTGTTTCTTGCTCCGGACAGTCCTTAATTGTTGACATTAAATATTCTTAATGGCGAGTCAAAGACTACATTTTCATAAACTTTGGTTTAACAATGGATCCATGTTTTTTATTTTATAAATTGTTAGTTGGGCTCATGTTTCCTCGCTTTCAAAGAAATATAGTTTGGTTTAGAAGAAAATAATTCCTCCATTTGGTCTTATACATAAACTTATAAGTTCCCTAGATTTCTGAGTTGTATTTCAAAATTATATAAATCAATAATGAATTACATTAATTTTCTTTTTTTAATCTGTTGGATGAGATTTTTTAACAAATCTTGTTTAGTTCTTTCGTACCGTTGATTTTAAGCCTTCAATCGGCTTCTCTCTCCAAGCTTTTTTTTTAAAAAAATAACATTTTTAGTCTTTTTTGTCGAAATTTACAAACATAAAACGTTATATAGGGTTATATAACGTTATATATAACATATAACGTTATAAACCTATAACAAAGGGGTCGCATAAATGTTGCGACAAACTTCTAGGGTAGTTAGGGGACATCATCAGGATTAAAACTGCATGGGAATCCATACAAGAAAATATCATCTTACGCCGCTTAGGGTGATTCCCTGTCCTGAACCGCTTCTTCGTTTGCTTCTGAACAGGTCACAATAAGGAAGCGCCTCTAGCTGCGTATGACGACATTTCTGGGTATGGTTTCTTATGCAATTTTAATTCTGACGATGTGCCTTAACTCCTCTAGAGGTTTATCGCAATATATACACAGCCCCTTGTTATACATAACTTTTTTAAACTTGTACTTCGACAAAGAATGACTAAAAATGTCTTTTAAAAAATCTGTAGCTTAAGGAGCAAAACTAATACCAGATATGAAATCCTCACACCCGAATTCGACACTATCAATTATTTGCATAATTACAACAAAAAGTTTGTTTTCCAGTAACCTCAGATCCTCAATAACTATCAATTACTTGCATAATTGCAACAGAAACTTGTTTTCCAATAACCTCAGATCCTCAATAACTATCAATTACTTGCATAATTGCAACAGAAACTTTGTTTTCCAGTAACCTCAAATCCATCAAGATGATAAAAAAATATCTTTATAATATACTAATATTTTTTTCCAGTACTTTATGTACAGGTACTTTGCTGTCTAATATTGACCTTTCAAGCATTTACTCTCAACTTAAGAGTTTTTTTCCCCTCACTTGCCTCTCTTTATCTTATTTAATGAAGAAAATAAAAAAAAAACATATCGAGCAGCTGAAAATTTGTCTGGATCATTTCACATTGGGAACAAAAATAAATAAATAAAACGGCAGTTTGATGTGACATTAAGGAAACATGTTTTTCTGCCAAAAGATCATTTACTTCTTTTTAAACAGCCGCTTATTGGTTTTGGGTTGTTGACTTTCTCTTTTTTTTTATTAATTTTATTAGGCTTTTGTATATCAGCCATCACTTTCAATTCTTCTCATCACTGAGAAACATTTCTGTTGAAAAAAAAAATACAGAAATTCAACCTAACTTAATTTTATCTTTTACATTATAGCCCGCTTCACATGCAAATAAAAATAAAATCTTGTATAAAATATTTTTCTTCATGTAAATATCCGTGGGCTTACGTTTTTTTTTTTTTAATAATTGTTGGCAAAAATTTTAAATTCGCTGAAAAAGATCTAGGGATATGACGAAACAAGTAGGGGGAAACTTCAACTTTTCGACCACTTTCTGACCAATTTATTGAGACATTATTTTCCAGATTTCGGCAGCCTTGGTCTCGGTTGATCAAGAATCCAAATTCGTCGAAAATACGGTATGTTTATTCAGAAAAAATACGTTTTCGTGTCGGATTCCATGGTTTAATTAATAGTTAGAGCCAATTGATTAGCATAGTTGAGGTCCACTCTACAAACTGTTGAAAATCTGATCATTAGAAAATAAATTATTAAGAGAACAATTTTTTTTTGTTTTATGTACAATGCATGAATGAATTTAATGCACAGAATTCTAACATCTCGGAACACTACCTCCAAAACTTTTGCTTTGTTCTCTTTTTTTAAAAAAAATAAATCATAATAACTTAAAAATGAGTTCTATTTACGATCTAACCATCATCGGTTTGCTACCATATAAAATTTAAAAACTAGAAAACGCGAAGATGTACAATTATTGTCTGAACTCTTCTATAAGTTACCAAACTCCACATAACAAAAATTGCTTTGTATATTATGTATCTAATATACTCGTTAAAATTTTTGAAAATGATCTAACTTGAGTAAAGTGGTTTATACGAACAATAATTGCATCATGCATTGCATTTAAAAAAGAATACAATAAATATTAAACATTTACGCTGGCAAGAATTCCTCTATTAATTTCTACAATGATTGCCTGCCAACGTGTTCAGCCATCACCTCCCAGAAGAGAGAAGACCTCAGCACGGTTTACCAAAAACAAGAAATTTGATCCTTTAGTAGTCCAAACGTAATGACATTTTTCGTATTTACCACCACTGCGCAGCTTAGTAGCCCGAAGGTAGTTCGATATATCTTATTTTTCCTCCACTACGCAAATTATGTTCGATACTTGGGACTGCTAATTGATCCGTGGTGAGGCCTTCTCTCTTCTAGGAGGTGTTCAGCTCGTCATAGGCAATTTTGGAGACAGATGCATCTTGATGTGCGTGTTATGCAAGTGGTTAGATCAAGCATTCTTATTGTTTGTGTGCAATATAAGTGATAATAAATTTCGAACCTGAATTATATAACTGTCTGATATGTTTAAAATACAATGCCAATTCGTATTTCTTTTTAGGTTGACCAATCCAGCTTTTTAAATGTTTTTAACTACGAGACAGCTAAAATTTTTTACTGTCTTAAAGCGGTAAGTGCACTTTATTATCATCATAAATTGTTTGAACACTGAGCATCGGTTCGGTAAATTTCTACTTGATAGCTCACCATTTGTGATAAAATATTTAAGGTTAGCGAATACGTTTCCTTTATAAAAAAAAAAAAAGACATGATTTTTAAATTAAAATACATACACTAATCGGGTTTCAGCAAAACAGTGTGTGGATGTGTTTTGATATTAAGCCACTGCATATTTCATCCATTTTGAACAAGAATTAATGCATCACCCTCTTTTCACCTCCGAAACCATTTTATCTTAGACACATATTGAAACCTTAAGACAACCTTAGTTCGATTTTAATTAAGACAATCTTATGGTTGTTGTTGATACTTGCCAATACCAGCAAGCCTGCTTGAAATCAAAAAAAAATTTAAGGCAGATTGTGCGTTTCTTATTATGGCCAAGAAACGACTTCAGCCACACACACACGTCACAACCCGTTTTACAGAGGGACTTAACCATACTCCATTCATTCACAGATCGTTATTTTGACCTGAACCCGAGAACTATCAATCTCCGATTCAATACCCCCAGACGTATTGATTTGTTATTAGAACCTGGAGGACTTTGTAACCACGACAAATTTGACGTGCACCAGTCACCATTTAATACCTGAAGATTTTATGGCCGGTGGGATTCGAACTCACATTCTTAGGAACACGAGTCCTATGTCCCACCAACCAGACTAACCGGGCCCTAAGGCAATCTTATTTTGATTTGTTATTGCTGTAAATAAGGTTCGATTTTAAATTTTCTGCATTCTTTATTGTTTTAGTCACTAATAAGATCTTCTACATTTATTTACATTTTAAAAACTGTTCTTATTTTACATGAATGTCGAATAGTGGCGAGTAGAGTGCGTTGTGCTCTTACAACAAATTCAATAGAACATCAAACATAAACAATAGTTCACAGCTAGTGGCTATCAACTCTAACTTTGTCTCGAGTATGATTTAAACTTTTTGTCTGGTTGAAAAATCACGTTTAGCGATTGCTCGAAAAAAAAAGGGTGGGTCACTATTGTTGTGTGGGCATGCAAAAAATAAGAGGCAATACTTTTAAATTGCCGTTGGAACAGCGAAAACATTTTTATTTCTTATTAGACTAGATTCACCCTTTCTTCTGAGTTAGATGTCAATTTTTTCCCTTTGACAATAATATAAATGTTGTAGGTTTATTGGAAAATACAGTTCTTTGCAAACTGCCTCTGTCACTCTCACCGCCATTAAGCCTAATAAATGACGACTGCTGTTTGCAAAAAGTTGGATTAACCAATAAAGCTACTACACATACATATAATCATTTACTAGATTACCTCTGGAATTGATACAAAAAAGGAAGTGAAGGCAGAAGAAGTACTTACAGATGAAGTCTTGCATTGGGTAAATTTATTAAAAATCAAAATTGTAAAAATGAAATAAACAAGAGCTCTTTCTCTTTAGTATTCTAGGTTATTTTTTGGTTGCATTGCTAACAGAATTTGTAATTACAATAAATATGTACAATAAATGGATGAAAGCTTACAAAATGTGATCAACGTTGATTTTAAAAATAGTCCTTCAATGTTACCCGCAATCTTTTACGCTGATATTTTGTAGACTGGTATTAAATTTTCTCATCGAAAGGAACATGACTGTTAAATTTCCAAGCAAAAATATTTATGCAAAATGCCAATATCTTATTAAATTTTATAGGCATTATTACAATTGTATTTAATAAAATGCTTCTTGCTAAATGCCGATTACTAGATTAACAAATAACTAAGCTTTTAATAATTTTCGTCCGGGCATTGAGAAAAACTTCTTACAAAATTAAAAGTCAAATTCATCTCGGAAAATAATTCCTGTTACCTTAAGCTGCAGTTTTGGATGCTTATCCTTAAAATCCATACTTATCCTTAAAATCGTAGGAAATAATTGCCTTAACATCACTACTTCAACATTCATATTTTAAAAATTTTTCTATAATGTTTTATCCTTTTATGGTATTGGGTAAAATTAATGGCCATCACCGGTCACAGGGTGAATAATATTACAAATGGCGATTTAAGAATTGCCTGCATTCGCCGCTCGACTGCCACTTTTTTCACCGAAAGTGTGTCATGTGCTATTATAATATATATTATTATTATATTTTTCAATAAATATGTAGTTGTTCTGAATAATTTCTTATATTCTAAAAATTACTTTATTTCAATCTTTAATTCTTGCACCTTAAAATTGTTCTTTATTTTTAAAATGAAGGTTTGCCATTTTTTTGAAAAGTGCTTCAAAAGAATTGCCTCCCATTATTAATATCAACAGTTTTTAAATCACTTAAAATTTTCAATATTTAAAAAAAGTGGCCAATTGGCCAAAAGTGACCACTGTTAAAAGTGCTACAACTGGCCACTGGATAGCATTAAAACTTCCTAATTTTGCCCTATATTTCCACCCTAAGCCACCACAGCAAATAACCATACTGCTCTCTTAAATCGATTATGCCTTAAAAGTATATAAAATCAACAATAATATTTTGGAAGTTGTGCTTCTTACAAAGAACAGTTTTTTCTTCATTTTCCAGCTTATTATGTTCCTGCAAAAAAAATTAATACCAATTAGTATGACAATGAGCTTCAAAAAAAGATTAGAGAATTATATCTGAAATCGAAAATTAAATTGAAATAGTGTAATATAAACATGAATGCAATAAAGGAATTCCCTAAGGGAACAACCTAGTATATATTTATATTGAAGCTTTTTTGTAATTTAATAATTGTTTTTTAATAATTGTTTTTCAATAATTGTTTTTTAAAAATACAAAATAAACTTAATGCAACTACAAAGAGTTAGTGTGAAAAATGTGAAATGAACTAAAATTTACTAAGAAAAACTACTTTTTTATTTATTAAGAGGTTGAAACATGGTAAAATAGGAAAAAAAGAAGAAAAAAACTCTACTAAATTATAAAATTATGCAGGGTTTTAAAGTAAAGATAATTAAAATTTAAATGTTCAAGTGAAATATGTCATTTTTATAACAGTTAAATATTTTGAAAAATTATTTATTTATCGAATTTATATTTATAAAGTTTTTATTTTTTCAGATTGCGGACAAAATTGCAAGTAAAGATGAGCTATACAATGACATTAATTTGCTAAGACCTGAAATTTTGCTCGGAGTAAGATTTTATTAAGATATTTAACAAAAATGTATTTTAAATAAAATTATTAATGTATTAAATGTGTCAAAATGTAGTAAATAAAAAGTAAATTAAAATGTTACGCTCAGATGATTAAGATGTTAAATTCTTAATGAAATTTTACGTTTATTGGCTATTTTTAAATTAATTAGTTTTCTAAAGCAGAATATGATTTTAATGTTAGAGAACGTTCGTAAAAGTATCATTTTTGCGTAACAATAATAGAAAAAAATGATAAGTTGTGTTTTAAATTGCTTCAAGTGAAAGGATAGATAGTGCTGGTAATTTACTTAAATTTTTAAGACAAATGCATAATTCCATTTTTAATAAGGAAGATTGAATTTTCGTTTGTATTTTGCATTAATGTAGTTTCGCTTCTAATTTAAACCTCTTTTTTATAGATTGGAGAATTGTATCACAAGAATATGAATGAAAAGTTATAAAGTAGGTTTTTATCAGTAATTAATTATTATTTAGCAATTTTATTAATAGAAATAAAAATGAAGAAAAGAATTACCGACCTAAATTTCGAGAATATGCTTTTTAAACACGTTTATCTATAAAAGGTTATAAATATATGTATGCATACACAGTGAAACCTCTCGAGAGCGACCACTCTCTGTTCCACAGTAAAATCGTCGTTAATGGAGGCGTTCTATAGGCATTCTTCCATTGACTTCAAAATGTTATCGAAGGTTCATGATTTTTCGCAAACGATTTTAATTTTAATCAATGGTCATTAATGGAGGTGTTCTTTCTTCTTCCATTGACTTCAAAATGTTATCGAAGGTTCATGATTTTTCGCAAACGATTTTAATTTTAATCAATGGTCGTTAATGGAGGCGTTCTTTCTTCTTCCATTGACTTCAAAATGTTATCAAAGGTTCATGATTTTTCGCAAACGATTTTAAATTTAATCAATGGTCGTTAATGGAGGCATCCTTTCTTCTTCCATTGACTTCAAAATGTTATCCAAGGTTCATGATTTTTCGCAAACGATTTTTAATTTTAATCAGTGTCATTTTCCTGATGCGGAAATGCCACTTGTGTTGGCGTTAGGAAAACCGGATCGATGAATAAAATTTAGCTTCAATGAAAATGATCCCTACTGATAAAATAATGTGTAAAAACAAATTTATCAAACTATTTTAAATAAATAACAATTACGTTTTTTATTTAAGTTTGCATTTAATTTTATGTCATATAAATGAGTTAGCTTTAGAAAAAGACAAGAGGTTTGTTTGAGATGCTTAGCTCATTCTAAAATATCCCCCCCCCCCTAATTTAACTTTCAACTCTAAAAAATAAATCATTGATAGCATCGTCTTTAGTGCACTCTGACTGCAACATGAGGTTGTAGATCTCTTTCAGAGATCGTCAAAAAGAACTCTCTAAATAAGAACTTCACACAAATATTTTGAATGCATTTTAATCTACATATTTGTTTTCCAAAACACCAGTTTTTCTTTGAGGAAACTCTTTTTTTTTCATGAGGGTGAACACGTGAACCAGCAGTACCTGTAACTTAAAGTTATGATGAAGAACAGAATTCCTCCGAATATGCATATTAGTAGCTACAGATGTATTTAAGAGTTTCTGTTTTATTTTTTATTAATTATACTAATTTTCACAAGAATGGTGAGTTTTTATGTACTCAAATTTGCTAGAAAATTGTTTATTTAAGGAAGAAGAAAAAAACTGCGAAATAAAGTAAAATAATCCTTTGTACTTCTGTATTGAATGCAATTTTAACTTAAAGTTTAAATTTACAGACAATCGGTAAAGATTCGCTTGAGTCATGATTTCGGCAAACCTAAAAAATGAAGCTTCAATTTAAAGAAATTAAGAAAGACCCCTTTTAAGTCAAAAAAAAAATATTACATTGACGAAGAAAAAAAAAGGAGTTTGTGTGCATCTGTCTATCATAGGCGTAGAGTTAGGGGGGTGTCTTATTTTTTGTTTTTAAAAAACTACTCATCTAATTTAAGTTTTATAAAGACGTTTACATAAAAATAAACACACATATATTTTATTTTATAACCGTCGTTGAGCAGTCGACCCAGCTTTTTTTTGGCTTTACGTCTACTAATGTTCAACTCCGTAGCCTTGTAATTTTAAACTAATCCAGAAGACACGGGAACTCCTGGATCAAGTATTGGGAGAAATTTACCTTCGCGGAGGACTTTTTGATGGAACTAACCCGCATTTGCATTACACGGAGAGGAAGACCACGAGAACCTCCTACTGTTAACCTGACGGCTAAGGGACTCTATCCCATGAACCTTCCACTGTGGTAGATACTACAAGTTTTCTAAAAGCAAAAAGTGTGCCCCGCCCCTTACGCCACGTCTATGCATATGTTTCTCTCATAATTTCACAACGATTTGTGTCAGAATCCTGAAATTTGGTGTAAATTCAATTGCAGGCGACTTTGTTTCGTATTTAAACGATAACATTAGTTATATATTAACAAGCGTATAGTCCTATTTAATAAAAAACGAGTTTTTCTGGAAGCTTATAGTATGTCCCTTCATAATTATTTGCTTTTAGATATTTATGTCGTGAAATTATCGTTAATAATTATTCTTTCTTTCTTTTTTGGTAAGTTGATTTTGAAAAACATGTTTTCCTTATGCTAATAATTGATGACTAATTACCAAGAAGGAAAAATAAAAGTCATTTATTTTAAATTTTTTCAATTGACTATCAATTTTCGACATAATTGCGTAACCTAGAGTAAATTATACGAAGTCTTTTATTATTTGATAATTTTTCTAACATTTTATCCCCGAATATTTTTTTTAAAATCTTAGCGTGACGTAATCTATGGCACCGATGTGTGAAAAAGCGGAGTCCATCTTACTATAAGACTGTTGAAATCCTGTTCTTCCAATTCAAAAATTTCTGAGAATTACATACAATAAAAAAAAATTTGAGATCTAAATATATATCCCATAAATTTTTAGTATATTGTACGTGTTGCGCATATTGCTCAAAACAAAGAAACAGCATTCTATAAAAATGTTTCCGTGACTTAATTGTTTTTTTTCTCCCTACAGGTAATCATCCTCACTGTTGCAGATAAAATAAACACCTTCGAATTGTTTGTTGATTACACATGACTGAAATGATAATAATGATTTCGAAAAAATTTCTGTCATCATGAATTATTTTTTTTAAATAATAAATTTATATTTTTTTAATTTCATAATTACATAGTGAACTTCCTTACCTGGTTTCGGTTTGATGATAAAAACAAACAAACAAACAAGTGAATAAAAATTTTAAAAAAAATATTAGTAGTATTAAAAAAGTGTCAAAAAATGAGAATTTATATTTTTTAAGGCATGTTCCTCATTATAAGAAATAAATTTTTAAGAAAATGCCGAATGCTTATAAATTTTCGAAAATCTTCAAAAATATTTTAGCCTAAAAATTATCAAGCAGATTTTTTTCCATCTCAATAAAGTAGAAAAAAAATTATAAAAATTAAGTAATTAACGATTAATAAACGATAGCTAATTGAAAGTTAATTATAATCAATTTAAGAATTGATCTGGCAGCCCTCTGATGATATATGTTGCGTTTTAAAAATATCAAATAAATGAATTATTTTTAATGTCAGGGATGAGAGTAGTCAGAAAGTAAAAAAGAGGAAATCCNGTTGCAGATAAAATAAACACCTTCGAATTGTTTGTTGATTACACATGACTGAAATGATAATAATGATTTCGAAAAAATTTCTAATGTCATCATGAATTGTTTTTTTTTTTTAATAATAAATTTATATTTTTTTAAATTCATAATTACATAGTGAACTTCCTTATCTGGTTTCGGTTTGATGACAAAAAACAAACAAACAAGTAAATAAAATTTAAAAAAAATATTATTAGTATTAAAAAAGCGTCAAAAAATACGAATTTATATTTTTCAAGGCATGTTCCTCATTATAAGAAATGAATTTTTTAAAATAAGAGCAGCGGTTGGCGAAAAAATGCCGAATGATTATAAATTTTCGAAAATCTTAACAAATATTTCAGCATAGAAATTATCAGACAAATTTTTCCATCTGAATGAAATAGAAAAAAAATTATAAAAATTAAGTGATTAACGATTAATAAACGACAATCCTATAGCTAATTGATAGTTAATTATAATCAATATAAGAATTGATCTGGCAGCCCTCTGATGTTATATGTTGCGTTTTAAAAATATCAAATAAATGAATTATTTTTAATGTACACTTGATCCATCTTATGTTAAAATGATTTTAAAATTTCGTGTTAAAGTGAACAGCTTTCAGCAGAACTAATAATTACAGACTATATTGTAGCAGGCTACTATGCATGAAAATGTCACGATTAAAAATTCACAATCCATAATTCCTTGAAAAAGCATTAAATTTCGATTTCTTCCTGGTACAATGCACATTGTTTCAAGTATACTGTGCGCAAAAAAATGAAAACGAACAAAAAGGGAGAAAAAACGGACCCTGAATAACTTTTGATCTAATAATCCGATTTTCTCGTTCTAGTACTTAATCTAAATGACTCCAGCGGTTGACCTAAAATATGTTAATTAATAAGTGCGGACTATACTTTAAGTTTCGAAATCAGACACAAAAATGTACTTTCTCTGAATAAACACGCCATTCTTTCGACTGATTAAGATTTCTGACTCCCAAAATATAGGGAGTAGCCGCAATCTATGGTCCCAATAGTTTGGTCAGAAGAAAGCTTCAAATTTTGACCACTTAATGTTAATTTTACTTTATGCGTATTTCGCTATATCTCGAGAATTTTTTAAGTGAATAAAAAAAAAATTTTTATACTCAAATGCAAAATTTATATAGCCAAAGATAATTCCGCTTAAAAAATAACTTTTAGCAATTATTTATTATTTTTTATTATTTTAGTTAAGAATGGTCAACAAATTTTTGAATTGCAAGGTATTTGCATCATTTTAATATTATATACTCGTTATAATATTAGTTTTCGACCACGAATGTGCATATTTTTTTCACTTTTTCAAAAAAAAAAGCTTAAGTCATTGCATATTCAGGGTAGTCACTAAATTGTTCATTTATCATCTGCACATTATCACCCAGAAAGTTGGATGCGCCTTGATGACGTACGAAATGTAAAACACGAAAAAATAGTTATTCATTCTTTTAAATGCCTTCACGCAGTGACTGCGGAGCGATTAATTATATAAATATATTCAATTTTTGGTTACGGTGTGATGTTTTTGGTTTCATCAACCAATACGCAAACAAAAAATTATATCTGTCTCCTTCCGCTTCCTGTTACAAACTCACCTTGAACTTTAAACAAAACAACGGAAATGTAAAATGCAAGAAAAAAATTAAAAAAATCAGTAATTCAACTCTTTTTCCTTATTAGTATTTTAATGAATGACGACATAAAATTAAAGTTAATTTTTGATGAATCGGAAAATTTCGTGCTTCCTTTAAGTTTAAATGTTTTTCTTTATTTAAGAGAGAGAGAATATGGTTGTTTAACCAGTTAAGCATGGAGTTTAACTTTAGAGATTCTTCACAGGATATGCAATCAGAATCAAGCAATGACATATTAGAACGCAGAGCAAATGGTCCTATTATAAACTCTTTTAAAAGCCGAGGAAGGATTACATTTCTAATTAATTAAAAATTGTCAACTCATTTCTGAAAAGTAAAAAAATAACGAAGTCCAAAAATAACGAAATATATAAAACACTATATAAAATTAATTCCAAGAGAAAGCGAGAAAGATAGAGAGAGAGGGAAAGCTTTTGAATCGAATGCTTCGGATTCTCGTATTTAATTCGAGGACCTACAGCAGCGGTTCTCAAATGGTTTTCCGCGGAACCCTTAAGTTCCGTGGAATGTAAACAGAGTTTCTGAGAGTTACGAAATTTTTTAACCAGTTATTGTTTTGGAAAGATATAATTAAATTTACATCAAATTAATATTTCATTATTTTTTTAATATTTCCGTTATTTTTATGAAATTATTTAATTGATGTGAAGAAAAAAATTTCAAAGCAATGTTTTTTCTAATAAAAATATTATGAAAAAGACATATGCATTTATGAAAAGCTCCAATAGCATTTCGCATCGAATAAACGTAACCAAATTCAACAATGCAGAACAATGTTTCTTTGAAAACCACTCTCAGCGTTTATTTTCTTTCTCTTTCGTTTTTATTTTAATAAAATCCATATTTCAGTTCATTCATTTTCAATTTATGCATGCTCTAAAATCAAATTAAGAACTAGACTTGCCGCTCAAGAACTGTGAATTCAATTGTATGTCACGAAATCCAGTTTTAAGAACTAATATTGAAAAATCAACATGATGAACAAAATTTCCCTCTTCATTCAATCACCAAATATTTTAAAAATTATAAATTAAATTAGATCTTCACATATTTTCTATGTAATTAATAATCGTTCGTAAATTATCTCTTCACAAGCATCATTTTTTAACCGTCGTTGAACAGCCTACCCAATTTTTGGGTTCACGACTACAAATGTTCAACTCCGTACCCTTGTAATTTTGAACCCAATCCAGAAGACAAGGAAACTCCTGGCTCAAGTATTATGAGAAATTTGCCTTCGTGAAGGACTTTTTGATGGAACTAACCCGCATTTGCATTACATGGTGAGGAAAACTTCGAAAAACTACCACGGTTAGCCTGACGGTAAGGGGACTATAACCCATAATCCGTGTACCACTGAGGATATGTTACGTAAGCACTATGGTCGGTACGAGCCCGGTGCGGAATTCTTATCGACCAGCAATCCCTGGGATTCGAAACCGGTTCGAATTCCAGCGAACCTCACTATAAGGCGAATGCTCTATCCCCTGAGCCACCGAGACTCCTTCACAATCATTAACCCCTTAACGATCGGTTAATTTTCGAGAAAACGGTCATAAAAGTGCCTATTTTTTTCTGACATCCAAACATCTTGTCCTGGCGTCTAGTTTAAAATAAACTAACTATCTACAATTACCTTAAAATATCCTGGTACTGCCATCTGGTGTGTAAAATGAGAAATAAAATGTTTTTCGGGCAAAAGAAATGAATTAGTTTTATTCTTATTGGCGCGTTACTACTGAACACTCCAACCCGGAAATTTCACGGGAGCGAGAAATAGAGGGCGAAACATCAGCCCGTCATTTTCACGGGAGCGAGAAGAAATGGGTTAATGAAATATTTTTTTAAAAAAAAACTTGGGGTTCCGCCAAAAGAAAGTCGATTATTTAAGGTTCCACAGCAGAAAAAAATTGGAAATCGCTGGTCTATATAATTCAGCCTCGTAGAGCAAAAGGGCCAGTACTGGCTTTGCTAATTGCATAGAATTTTTAAAAATTAGGACTAAAAATTTGAGCAAATTTCTTCGATTATCAACGTTCGTCGTCCAAATCGCGGTTCACGTATGTTATTGATTTCTGGCCTCGTGCTTCCTTCCCACCACCCTGCAACATGAAATACTTAGTAATTCCAATTGTAATATAAAGACAACATACCACCAATTAATATTCTTGTGGTACTTTACTGATAGTCAATGGTAAATTTTTATTTTATATGCCGATTAAACACATCATACGCACTGCAATAAAGATTTAGTCGGATGTGTATGCAAACACGCTTCTCGCTCCCGTGAAAATGATAGGGTGAAGTTTCGCCCTCTATTTCACGCTCCCGTGAAATTGCGCCAATAAGAATAAAACTAATTCATTTCTTTTGCCTGGAAAACATTTTATTTCTCAATTTACACACTAGATGGGAGTACCATGATATTTTTAAGGCAATTGTAGACAGTTTATTTAAAACTAGATATCAGCACTAATTAAATAGCACTAATAAAAAAATAGGCACTTTTATGACCGTTTTCTTGAAAATTAACCGATCGTTAAGGGGTTAACTGGTTTAAACCCCTGCAATAATGATGAAAATAAAAATTATTTTAAATTTCTGATTCTTCCACTAATCGGGCGTACTTATCATTACCATACTTATCATTATCATTACCATGGCATACTTATTGCTTTATAACAGTTTAATTACGAGTATCTATGATTTCATGACATAAAAAAGCTTGAAATAAATAGCTACTTTTGTCTGCAAGTTTTCAAAATTATTCAGAGATGCTAAAAAAATTCGTTTTATTAATTATAAGAGAAAACAAACCTGCACCACCTAAAACAATTAATATTTTGTAG